AAATATATGAAAAATTGATGTGGGTATTCAAATGAAAGGTCTTGATGAGTACAATATCAAGATGAGTTTATATCTTTAAAAATGTCAATATTTCATGAGATACAAGGTCATTTCTTAATTATTGATATTTTTTAAAATATAAGCTCATCTTGATATTACACTCGTTAAAAGCTTTTATTTGAGTACCCACTTGCAATTTTTATATATTTTTCATATATACATATATATATAAATATATAAATATATAAAATATATGAAAAATTGATGTGGGTATTCAAATGAAAGGTCTTGATGAGTACAATATCAAGATGAGTTTATATCTTTAAAAATGTCAATATTTCATGAGATACAAGGTCATTTCTTAATTATTGATATTTTTTAAAATATAAGCTCATCTTGATATTACACTCGTTAAAAGCTTTTATTTGAGTACCCACTTGCATTTTTTATATATTTTTCATATATACATATATATATAAATATATAAATATATAAAATATATGAAAAATTGATGTGGGTATTCAAATGAAAGGTCTTGATGAGTATAACATCAATATGAGCTTATATCTTTAAAAATGTCAATAGTTCACAAGATACAAGGTAATTTCTCAATTATGTATCTCTTAGAGATAGATCTTTTTATTATCTATTAGAGATAGAACCTAATAATCATAATTGTAGGAATTAATATATAATAATTGGGCAAATTACAATCGCCAGATAGTTGTTTTTCCTAATTTTAACTTCGGAAAAGTTTAAAATTTACAAATTTATTAGATAAAAAATTAACCCATGAAAAATAAACTTATGTACATATATACATATATTTAACAATTTATAATATATAACAAGTCATTATATATTGATCAATGGGGAGTAGGAATATTTACACATGTCAAAGTCACACAAAAGAGCTCATATGATATTAATCATATTTATTAAGTGTGCATGTCTGGCCACACTTTGAATTACTCAAAACAAAATAAAATCTCAATGAAACAATTATTAATATATATATAGATTTAATCAGGTATGCGATAAGATCACAGGGACAAAGTTTCAGTAGCTTAACTTTATCCGAAAAATAAATATAAATATATATATATATATAAATAAGCGTAGTATACAATTAAATAGAGAAAAGTGTAATTTTATAAATTTGGCACAGTGAAATAAAAGATTGAAAAGGTATTTAATTGAGTTAAAGTGACGAAGAGCTAATAGTAATAATAATGCTTGATAAGCAACACCCATATAAAAATTGTAAAATTGAAATAATTCATTTATTTAGGCGAATATTTGGAAAACCAATACCTTGGCATTTCATGCCCTGGTGGATGACACCATAGAGTAGACTACCGCAGTGGTCACAGAAGGTGGGGCTGTTGTAGGTGTGTTGCTTGAAATGATGCTTCGTCCGTGTATCCTGCGTTACGTCATTATTACACCGTGCATACACCATTGCGAGTCATACAGTTAGTTTTTTTTAGCATACACACTTGCTCGATTTAGATTTACCGGCTTGGCCATTGAATTAATATTTATATAGACATAATAAAGGATCGGAAGTGATTCGGGATAGAAATAGGGAACAATGTGATTTTATGATGACTTTCTACCAAGTTTATTTTATTATATCAAGTTAATTTAATTAATTAAATTTTAATAAACAGTTTTGGAAAATTCCAACAGGTTGCGCATGGCCGCTGAATCTTCTCACTACCAGAGAGTTAACTTTTATAAATTAAGTATTGAAATAAATTTTGTAAAAGTTACACTGATAGAAAGATTTATTAATTATTAAGAATTTAATTAATTAAATTTTAATAAATAGTTTTGGAAAATTACAACAGGTGGCGCATGGCCGCTGAATCTTCTCACTATCAGAGAGTTAACTTTTATAAATTAAGTATTGAAATAAATTTTGTAAAAGTTATACTGATAGATTCATTAATTATTAATAATTTAATTTATTTGAAGACATTTAATTTATTAAATTTTAATAAATATTTGTTAAATCCTGATGTTAAAAAATTATTTATTAATAATTAATAAAGCTTATTAAATATAAAAAAATCCATCTAAAAGTGTAGCTATTATAATTCTCCAATGACAAATCTCCAGTGGGCGAACTTTACTAATTATTAATACTGAATAATTATAATTACTCTGCTTTATATATGCAGAGAAATTTTTTTGATTTGTGGTACATTAATTTTGCTTCGAGTTAATCTTCTATTTGTATTAAAAACTATTTTAATTATGTTGACAGTAATTTAATTTAGTTAAAATTCATGTCTATTTAATCGATAAAATTTTATTGGTGCTATAAAAAGTAAATCGCACTGAAAATTTATCCAATTACTTAAAAAGTAAATAAAAATTTGCATTTTTTAAACTTGGCAGCAACGTCATCACTTTATAATCAATGATTATTTAAATTCTATTATACATAATTGTTATAATTATTAAATGGGTGAAAAAAGTTTTACACTTACATCAGAGTCAGCTCCTTTGTCAGCACCAGGACACGTAAATGAAACGTACTCATGGCACCGTTTATGTACTACAAAACTACAAACTGAAATTTAAAACAGTTTATTTTTGTTAACAATACCGAGTAAATTTCACAAAGACATTTATATTAATAGTTACACTGTTATATTCATTTATATATTTTTAAATTAGTTACTGACCTTGGCACTGGTATCCCTGTTTTCCGAAACCCCTATAACAAAAAAAAAATTCTTTATTTAAAACGAATAATTAATTTTTTATTTAAAGAAAATTAGTCAATTTTTTATTTAAAGAAAATTAATTAATTTTTTATTCAAAAACAATTAGTAAATTTTTTATTTATAAAGAATTAATAAATTTCTTTATTTAAGAAAATCTAATGTTTTAATATTTCAATAAAAAATTTCATTTTAATTTAAGATTCTCGATTAATAAAATCAAGACATTTCTTTGGTGCCAGGCATCTGTAAGTAAAATTGATGACTAAAAACAATGGAATAAATAAAAAGAAAAATCGACTCTGAAGTATTGTCATAAATCGCGTACAGTTGAGTGGATTTTGATAGGAACAAACAGCCCCGGTTCACGACACACGTACATCTGAGTCATAGTGTAGGCCAATGGGTGGGGGGTTCTCGCGGGTGGGTCACGCTTGGGGATGACGACCCGAGCCCGTGTCCCGGGACAACCACTTTGCTTCTCGGTTCTCGGTTGCCGGTGCAGCTCCAATTGTTCGCCCTTGCCAGGATAAATCTACCGTGTGGAGGAACAGAGGAATAGAGGAAACAGCCCGGAATAAGGTTACGCGATATTTAGACTACCAACCGCAGAAATAATGCTTACAGGAAATTATCATCATTTTGTAACGTCATTTATTCCTCGTCGATATGTATTATAGGTTATTAATTATGCTCATCAATTCATCGATTTTGAAGCTCTATTAATAACTTCCTCTACTTTATATATTTTAATTAATTATTTAGATTTTCAAAATTGACAATCATGTTGCGGTAGCATGAGAAAAATCATGTGGCAGCAACATGATTTGTCATGTTTCGGCTACATGACAATCATGTTGCTGCTACATGATTTTTCTCGTACTATCGAAACATGACAAATCATGTTGCTGCCACATGAGTTTTCATGCCACCGCAACATGATTGTCATGTAAACAAAACATGACAAATCATGTTGCTACCACACGACTTGTCATGTTCCAAAAACATGACAAATCATGTTGTTGCTACATGATTTTTCTCATGCTACCGCAACATGATTGTCAAGTAACCAAAACATGACAAATCATGTTGCTGCAACATGATTTCATCATGTTTATTTACCAAGACTGTATTATGTTGCATTTACTATTTATTTTTTTCCGTGTAGTTAAAAATTTAATATAATTTTTAAAATTAAATTAAACAAAAAATTGAATTTGTTAGTTCAAAATTTTTAAAACAAAAGCAATAAGTTTCTTTTAGAAAAAAATCTAGGATAATCTGGAGATACCCTTAAAAAAAAAAAAAATAGAAAGAAAACCCGGGCAACAATTCCATGGATTTGGTAAAAAAAATTTATTGGTTTATTTTTTTGTTTCAATAAAAAATCTCGAGTAAAGGAGGATTGTAAGCTTTGAAGCGAATATAGCATCACAAAGCTTCTCCATCTCTTTTTTATACATCTTTATACATTGATATCTCGATATCACATGACCGTGCGAGTAAATCCGGTTTCCTCGAAATTTTATGTCCATACATAAAAGATACTTTATTGTCAATAGATTTATATATCTCTAAAAAATATATTTATTTCCGGTACAATAAATAAAGAAGATTACGAAATGTTTTTTTATATTTGTTTTATCTGATGATCGCGGATGAACAAACAACTATTAAACATTATTCAGATGCACGCACAGTTTGTGTTAATTCATTCGGTTAGAAATTTTCACTCGACAATTATAAATAAAAATAATATAAAACGCATTTTAAGATCACATTTTGAGGGAGAAAACAAGATGACAGTTATATAGGCACCCGGGGAGAATTATTGGCTGGCGAACCTTGAAATATTATCGATTTATCCATTGAAGTTGATTTAATCGGTCCACGGTATTATATTATCCCCGTCGACACTTATGGACATATTGCGCGTCATCGTTACGCTTTTAATTATCATATCATCTATAAATTGTAGATGCTTGCATTTAAATTACTTGTTCATTTTTTGTTGGGTATTTTAATTTTATATATTTTCAAGTGCCATTTAGATAATGATTCATAAAACTATTTTATAAATAGTTTTTTCAGAAATTTTTTATATCAAATTTAAAATTCAACAATTTTTTATTCAATAGTTTAACAAGCTGTAAGTTAATAATTAGGAAGAATAATATTTTCTCGTCTCAAGTGAACCTTTTTTTCTGTATATATAACTTAAAAAAAAAAATAGTTCCAAAAAAATCCAACAGGTGGCGCATGGTCGCTAAATCTTCTCACTTGTGGAAAGTTAATTCTAAGATATTTAGTTATAAATTAAAAATAATTTTTTTAACGCTCTTTAGAAAGTCTTCTGTTATTAATTTCTCTAAAGTTAACCTTTTTTTCTGTGCAGCAAATTGTCTAACTCCATTTTAGAGAATCTTCCATTTGTACGAAAAAACAATTAGATAAAAATTAATTGTCACTAAAAAACCATTTAATATCTACTAAAGGTATAATATTTTGGTTTGGATCATTAAAATAATTTATAATTGGTCTTTTGCTACATCAAAATATTAAAAAATGACCCTCTAAAAAATAACGAGTTGAATTGTTAATTAGACCGTCGATAGATTTTTGAGAAAAAAATTAATTTTTCTCAAATATTCATTCATCATTTCGTAGTTTGGAAACTTAATTTTTGGCTTTTCTCGTCAAATAATTCTTATACATTACAATGTTGCCAAATTCCGTTTTTTTCTTCTATCATTAAAAATCAACTAGCGGCGGAAAAAATCTGGATGAAGGTATCTTGTGCACACATACGCCCGCAAGCACTCGGTTGCGTAAACATGAAAAATGTAATATGTGAAAACCGAGTAAAAAAATAGAAGAAAAAAACGGTTTAAATCATACACATTTGTATACATTTAATACATACGTATGCGTCTATTGATTTATGCCGTCTGATGCTCAAAAATATAATAAAATGTATTTATAATGATAATAAATAAAAAACTATTTATAAAATACGTTCACTACCGATCTGAATATCTTTTATATCCATTGATCTAGAATATTTTTAACTGTTAAATGTTATGTACGATGAAAGCTCCTGTTTATATTAATATCAAACTTGCATGTTGCTTTAGCATAATTTTTAAGTTTTTTATATCAAGAAATCGCGGTAAGATTTCAATTTCTAAAAAAGAAATTGAAAATATTAAGAGTTAAAGAAAAGTTTTGGCTTATTTAATCAAAACTTATATGCAGAAGTAATAATTTTTTATAAAAGTTTATTGGATTAATTTTTTGACGAACACAAGTTGTTTAGACAAACTTTTTACGATGCAAAGCTCTAACTTTAAGTCTGAATTTAAAGTTTTGCGGAAACTGGAAAGTATATATTGCGAATAAGCGTGTAGATATAATAATAAAGAACACAATGAGAGACCCCAAGTTGGTATTAGTAACAAGTACTATACGGAGAAAGAATCAGACAAAGTTCCGCTTATTCAACGTAAGCTCTCGAACAACGGTGATATATATCTAGGCTAATCACAGATTTACATTGTTTCCTACTACTGTGTTCCCTTAATACTTGGCACAACTCTTCAGATTTGAATTGTCTTGGCTTTATCTACCGTTAATCATCACTAGAAATTTTTGTAGAAATTATTTTTAATCGCGGGTTGATCGAATATTAAACGATTTTTAAGATTATTTCTTTTATTATTAATATATCTTTTAATGTATTAGAATGCTAAAAAAAATTTTATCTAGTAGATTAAATGGACTTTTAAAGTGACAATTAATTTTTATCTAATTGTTTTTTCGTACAAATGGAAGAATCTCTAAAATGGAGTTAGACAATTTGCTGCACAGAAAAAAAGGTTTACTTGAGAGAAATTAATGACAGAAGACTTTCTAAAGAGCGTTAAAAAAATTATTTTTAATTTAGAACTAAATATCTTAGAATTAACTTTCCACTAGTGAGAAGATTTAGCGACCATGCGCCACCTGTTGGATTTTTTTGGAACTAACTTTTTTTTTTTTTTTTTTTTTTTTTAGTTATATATACAGAAAGAAAGGTTCATATTTTTCATGAGAAAATTTTTTTCTCAGACGTGGCGCTGCTTTTTTATAGTATCTAAAAATCTTGATCAAATATAAAAATTTTTATCAAGTATTTATGATAGAATTAAGAAAAAATGACCACCAAGAATAGAATTTAAAGACAAATTTTAACTTACGACAGAATGTTCTACTTAAAAAGTCTACTTAAAAGCAATACACCCTTCTAAAATGATATGTCGAAGGAAATTAGATAGTGAATTATTGAATTAGCGATAATTTAGCGTGTTAATAGGTTGACAAAGGGATCAGTGATGAGATAGAGAGGCGATAGTCGATGAAAGCAAAAGACACTCATAGATATTGACAGGCTCCGATCAAGTGCTCGGGCGACAGGTTACCGTGCAACAGCTACAGCTGGAGCTAGACCGTGCGATGAGAAAGTTTAAATTCGATTTAGCAATATCGTTCCCATTACACACTGTCAAGTTTTGGAATGGAAGTGACATTGATTGCTAAATGAATGCTCTTGGTAGCTGTGAGCTCCATTCTATTCAATAGAATATGCAACACAACTTTTGTTGTTGACGATAGTTCACCAAGAGAAACTGTTTTATATCAACTCGCCAACTAGATAATACTTTACACCACTTGATCATGATAATAATAATAATAATAATAATAATAATAATAATAATAATAATAATAATAATAATAATAATAATAATAATAATAGTCATCATTGTCACGCTCTTTTGCCACAGGTGATTTTGAACCAAAACTCAAACTTTAACTTAACCTTTAATTTAGCGAAAGTTTCCATAACGAGAAGAACAAATGATGGCTCGCTGGTGAACCGGAAATTTAACAAGTTGAAAGCTTTATCATTTTTAAAACTTTTGGAAATTTCTTTGAATGATGACATTGATTGGTTATTTTACTAGACAATAAACAGTAAGTTTATGAGATGGTTAATAATTATTAACTTGACATAAATGATTATTTATACTAAAAAACAATGCCGGGATTTATTTTTATAAATT